GTAGGAGAGTCTGTGGCAGCCGCTGCTTTCGCTGTGATATGGGCAACCGGCGATGGTGGGAACTGTGGGAGGAAAAAGTACATCATTAGGAAATGCCATGGATGAGTAGGGACTCCAGGTTTGTCTGAGGAAAGAGGCTGTTTTAGGAAAATGAATAAATACTCTCTTAACAAGAGAAAGCGGGCTGACTAAGGACTTGACTGCCCAACTCTTACCCACACAAATACTGATTGCTCATGTGAAATGGTCTCACTGAGCTCAGCACAGGTCTTGCATGAGCAAGAATTACACCTCCCATTGAAGGAAGGAGGCTTGCAGACCTTTTTATTCCCTATTTTTCATGCCTGGCTTCCCGCGGAGGTGAGGCTTTGTTGCGGCTGAGCAGCCTGCGTCTTGCAACTCGTTACAGCCACCTCTACCGCTGGCTGGGGAGCAGCTGTCCCACCCATCGCCCTTTTTCGAGCGTTCAGAAATGTTTACCCGCTTTTCTGGGTGCTGCTGTGTGGCATGGGGGGCCCTGGTTCATGCCCCAGTTCTGCCACGGCCCCACAAGCGCCTAACCGTCCTCTTCCTTCTTGTCTTATTTGATCATGAATTACCCACTGGAACTGAGTCACATTTTTTTCATAAACAGGCCAGTGAGACAGGTACATCCTCCAAGATGGTAAACTAAAGTGTGAGTTGCCCAGAAATAGAAAAAAAATGTAAAAAATTGTGATGTGATGTGCTGTCATCATTTCAGGCAATAAACGCATTACTGATTTTACAGACAATACTGAAAAATTTCTCCATATTATTGTCACTACTCAACTGGTCTTAAGCTGTCTAGGGCTATTTCTCCCGGGATTAATCTGAGACTGGATATGTTTAGGTGTGCTCTGCAAGTATCCCAAGACTTAAAGATGTTTGAAATGACTTTTGCAAGCATCCTTTGAAATTTAACTTGGTTAATTATTGGTAGGTGCAATTAGTTTCTTTACACTGAATGCCATTAATTTTGACCATCCTTCAATATTGTACAGTTATTTTTCTTGAGTGTAGCTAGCAAGTATATTGCAGCTGTCCAAAAGAGCATTTGAAGCCATAATGTTTCTATAGTATGGTCTGCAGTTGGTCAGAAACTTTTCAAAGGACTATTTTCTGTTTGAAAAATCTAGTTTTTATAAACTGTAGGGACTTTGAAAATTGTTTTTTGGTAAGAAAAAGAAGGGAGGGAAAATGTTTTAATAAAGCTCAGTCAATTTTCATCAAAGCATTTTGTTTGTCCATTACAGAATGAATTTTTGGGTTTTGTATGATGATTTTCCCATCACCTCTTTATTGACATTTTTGATTGATCTGATTATCATGTCAGGTTGGAATATGAATTATTTGATGCTTGTTCCACTTTAGAAATTATTTTTTTCCCAATTTGTGAAATTCCCTGGGAAACAAGAGGCTAATTCCTCCCTGCTCTTGCAAGTGACTGAGCATCCAGAACGGGAGCCTGCCTGTTTCCATCCTGCAACCCTTCCTGGTTCCCTGTGGGACAGCCATCCTATGCCAGTCTCTCCTCCCAGCTAAGGATCCTCTGGCATAAATCATGTCTGAAAACCTTAACGAAGACTGTGAAATCTGCACATACTGTGACAGACTGACATGCTGTTAATGTGGGACGTGCTGACAGGTCCTAGGTTTTAAGATGCATCAGACAGTGGTAGTTGGTCTTGCTGTATTTACTTACCGAAGACTTTCCATCCAACAGGTGGTTACAGGACTTGGATGACTCCCGTTCAGTGTTTTTTTTAAGAAACATGGCATTATTGGTAATTATCCCATTGGCACAGCTTGTATTAAAAGCCTCCTTCCATGCAGTTAAACCCAGATATGAACAGAGCCCAGATTCAGGTTATAGTCCCACTATATTTGATTATAGCCAAAAGTGCAGAAGTTTCTTTATTATGCTCATCTACTGTGATATCAAAATAAGTGAATTTGGAATTGCTTAAGTCATTCCAGAAAGTCACTCAACTGCTTGCTCCTAGACTTCTCAAAAGAGAGGATGAACTGTCCTTAGCAGCCCAAGCTAAGCAGGAACCCTTTTCCCCCCTGAGAACACTCCTGTGTATGTATATACAAAGAGCGGTCCCATCTGCTACTCCGCACCAGAGGTTGGGTAATGTAGTTTTTGTGGGTCTTGGAGCCCCACTGCCAGGTTTGTCCTGCCTAGGAGATCATTCTCCTTTCTGGATTGTCCTGGGGAGTTATTCTTACCTGGGCAGAGATGTGGGCTACATCCACCCCATCACAGGGAGGGATTTCAACCTCTCTGTCTGCCTGTGGCTGAGTGGCACCACTCTCTGCTGTCCTCAAACCTGGAGGTTACCTTTCAGTTACAAGTGAGCGCTCAGCCGATAACTTATCCATGGATAAACACTCACTGACTTTCCTGCTAGTTGTGGTGAGGAAATAAATGAGTGAGGGATGTCAGATTTTTTTTCATGGAGCCAAATCCTCCCATTTGGCTGTGGGAATGTGGACATCTTCCCCCCCACACCTTCTTTCTGTTCCTGGCCATTTCCAGTTTTCTGCTGTTTTTTAAAGGATATCCAGGTAAGTTTAGAGCAGAAACACCAAGATTTACCAAGACAGAGGATTCACAACTGCTGTGACCAATGGAATATAAATAATGACAGCAAACATCAGAAATAGCCAAGGTGCTCCTATAGTGCTATGTCCAGCATGAGTTAGCAATCAGAACTGTCTTCTCCTTCTGGGGACAATATTTGACCATGATAAATATCTTAACCAGCCTCTCCTTCCCCGCTTCCACCCCCCCACCAGTAATTCCATTAGGTACCTAACTGTATCCCTCACGTCAAAGTTTAATTCAATTACCTCCTCTCATCTTGCATATTAGGTACTAACAATATTCAGCAAGTGGCTCCAGGCATCAGTGCTTCAGCTAATGTCCACATTTTTTCTTTTTTTTTTTCTTTTCTTTTTGTTGTTTGCTCTTATATTGTCTGGTTCTTCCCTTCAGCCTGTCTCTCTTCTTATTAGATATAGAAAATGTTCTGGTGAAATTTTAGCAACATATGTAAGCAAAAGTAAGTCCTTATGGCTTCAGGTTCATAAGCGCTTTTCAGGACAGTGATGGCTGGGTGCGGTGTGAATTCCACTTCCAGAAGGTGCTATGGATGTCCAGGCCTCGGACAAGGGTTGCTCCACATCTGTTATTCTGACTTGCCCTGTGTTTCCAAGATGAGTACTCATACAAAAACTTGGTACAAAACCGATGACTTCTTTCCTGGAGAATAAGTGCAGATTTTTTTTAATCCATCCATCCTGTGAAGCAAATCACGGCTTTGAGTGCAGTCAGGGGTTTCTTGTTCTTGCCTTCCACTACACTTACATGCCTTCCTGCATGCTGGAATGCACTGTCATACTTTGATATTTGTGTAGGGTTTCCGATGCTAGCAACAAGTGCTCTCTTGTTTACATATTTTTCACTTCCTCTGGAAGTTGAACTGTTCACTCTATGACCCAGATTTCAAGATGTGCTTTACCAAATCTGAAGTCTTTTCAATGTTCAACAGTCCTTGTCTATGGAGCAAGCATTGCAAACTCTACAGACACAACTATTTCCAGTAAGAAAGTTGAAGAATGTTTTTGAAGGGTGAAATTTATGTGGAAGTCACATTTGTAAAGAGATTAATGAAAACAGATGATACATATCCATACATATAATTCACTTCATATCACATTATGCTGAGAAACAGCTGGAGAAACCTTTCTGGACTCTCTCATGGCATCCTATTCTCTGTGCGGGTATTAGTAATGTGCAAACTGAAACTGGACACTGCAGCACATCATAGCAAAGAGTTATTTTTATTTTCATACAAATATTTGCAAACACTTCTACTTTCCTCCCCTTAAAATGCTAAATCTGTAAAGTCAGGCACTCAAAAGTTATGAAATACCGGAATTGGACCAAAGTTCTTACATCCCCCAAAGGATCTAGACATTGAGATTCAGTCTCTAATTTGTGACCAGAAGTCATTTTCCCACAGACTTTCTGCTTCACTCATATAGACAGCATTCACTCAGAAAGCAGTTGTTCATCCCTAGCTTTTATTTCTTCTTGCACAGTCCTTACTTACTTTCTCTGCCAGTGAACCCTCTGAGGACAGAGCTATTATTATTTTCACCGGCTTTTCTGTATTGCTGATAACTGTGATCATCATCTGCACAAATGTTTTAAAAAAACCACCTTTGTCACCTCCTGGAGGACAAGGACTTATGCCAGGGAAACAGAAGTAGGTACTGAGTTTAAGATCAGAAGTTCCTGGGGTCCAGTATTTCAGAGGCTTGAGGAGGATGCAGCACTGTTCATAGTCGAAGGACAGTTTTTAGTGCAGCAGGAACCGAGCGCTCTGGGGTGTTGCAGTCAGAGGTGTGAAGCAGGCACCCAGAAAAGGGGCATACATCAGCTGTGTGAGGTGACGAGCATCACTGACGATTCCGGTGGCAGCAATGGGCAGACCTTGGGGAGCTATTGCAGAGACGCCCTGCGTGGTCCCTGAGCACCTTCTGTGCTGGGGGGAATGGGGATCTGACAGACCACCTTGCTGTGCTGCACGAGCTCAGGCAGCCCTGCAGTAGCTGTCTTGTCTTGGTCAGATGCTCCTGGTGAGTTTGTCCTGTCCTGTTCTCCTTGCTCCCACCTCCCACTCCTCAGGCGGTCCTTTTTGTCTTAATTTTTGTTCTAATTTAAACTTAGTTTCTCCCTCTTTCTGATTCAGCATCTCAGTTTCTTTGCCCAATGACTTCCCTTTCTCCCCCTACGAAAACTGTTTCCTCCTTTTCTGCTCTTCTTTTTGGATTCCTACATCTTTTCTCCTGTTTGCACCTCTCTATCATCCTTTACCTCTTGTTGCCCCAAACAGCAGAGACCAGCAGTCCCTCCTTTTTCCCTCACTGGCTCTCAGCCACCCACTACCCCAGAGCTGGTCCCAGCCACTCCTCCTCCTTTCCCCTCTCCAGACCTGAAGACCCAGCTCTTTGTTCAGCCATTTCTTGGCTCCAGTCCCAGTTTGAGATCTTTGCCTATGGTCCCAAGCTCAATTTGTTCCTTCCCAGTATCCCAAGCCCTGCTCTTGTCTGGTCTGCGTTCAAATGGGATGGCTTAGGAACAGCGCAGTTGCAGACCAGTGGTGTGAAGAACCTGTACGCCTTCATGGTAGTATCTGCTTTACAAATTTAGCACCTTTTAAAGGCTAAATGTCCAATGTCTCTACCAAACACGTGCCATATGGGATTTTTTCAAAGGCTTATGACTTGGCTGCATCTGGGTGGTTTTTCAAAGGAGAGCAAAAGATGCGTTTTTGATTAAATTGCCACCCCTTGCCAAATTGCATGGCCCTGCTCCAGCATCGACCTTCCAAACATAACACACCAGTGCTGAAGGAGCTGAATGACCAGTCTATTTATATTTACACATTTCCTTGGTTTTGCATTGGCAAACTCTATTTTTCCTTCACAGGTTCTCACAAATATGCTGAACAAGTTTTGATTGAAAAAACAAAATCAGATCTGTGACTGACATCCAGAATCTAAAATTTCATCCCAAATAATTATGTTCTGGCAAGTTCCAAACAACTGAACAGGGATCTTATTATATAAGCTGACTCAGGCAAACTCAGTAATTCACAATCTATCATCTCTAAAATACTGTCAGCCTTTGGAAAGGGAGCGTTTATGACTCTGAATAAAGTGAGAGCTCTGCAATGCCACGATCATTATCTCATTAATTCCACTGGACATTTTAAGCATGGAAGTATCCTTCAGGTACAAAACAAAGTGCCTGCTTCACTGCAAACTGGAAGACTGCAATATCTAAAAACATTCTGAAGCCACAAAGGAATAAAGCCACTTCTGCGGACTTACCATGCTGGGCAGTGCCCTTGGTGGGGCAGGGTCCCCGCTGCCCGCTCTGCAGGCAGCCCAAGCCCCGCACCTCGTCTTCACTGTACAGCACCTGGAGGAAGTCACCTTGGTGGGGCTGCAGCTTCTCTGTGCTGTGGGGCCGATGGTCGGCTATGGCTACCACCTACAGGGAAGAGGCAAAACCATCCTGTTACACCCGGCCTTGGAGATGAGGTGGTCTGTTGAGGTCATGGGGGAACAGCATGGACCTTGCTCTTCCCACTGCTTTGCTGTCATCTGAAGGGGATTTTGCCGGGTGGGGACTGTGGGATTTGTGAGGTTTGTTTTGTTTGGCTCCTGCCTCTGTGCATGAGGGAAAATCAAGTGGGGGTCTTTCTGGGACCCAGCTACTTCATTGTGCCTTTCTGTATTCTCCTCAGGAGACTGAAATGTGGTCCTTTTCAAGATATACTGAATGGGATATGCCTTTGAGACAGCTCAAATTTAATTTCTTATTGCGTCATATCTTGGACAATCAGTTAAACTTATGCAATGATGTGAATTACAAATGTTATTTCTTCTGGCCTCTCCTGTCTTCTGGACTTATTTACATTTCATACCTGGTAAATGACTACAGAGGGTACGAGGTGGTGAATAATTGTGCTCCTAGAGACTAATTTTCACAAACATTAGCTCGCGTAAACAAAACTCACTGAGCACTGCATCTTTGAACATTAGGCCCTCTTACCTCTAACAGACTCCCTGAAAACGAGCGTGAACAAAATCAAGTTCTTTTCTACATGGATCATGGCCAAGCCATGGCACTCACCGTGCTGCCACAGGCAACTGAGGAGGCCAGAGCCAATGTGAGCTTAAAAAAACAGAGATAAGCTCCAAGCAGGTGGATCCATCCGGTCTGTTATCTAGGATGGTCCAGAAGCAATTTTCTCAAGAAGATTAAAGTCCCAACAGCAGGGAAGGAATGGTGGGGTTTTTTTACTCTTCCCTGAAGACTAGCAACAGAGAACCAGTTAAACAGGGCGAGGATCCAAACCAGTAAGGAAACAAGACATGTGGCAACTATTCAGACTGTTTCCTATTAGACTTACTTATGTTGATCTCATGTTGGAAGACCAGGAGGAAAGTGGTTACTTGCATCTAACTGATGACTGATAGTTGCCATCTACGTGTTTCATATATAAATACAGTTATTTTGTCTCAAGACTGAGACCAGCAGCTGACCAGCCTGCTATTGGCATAGAAAAAGGTCTTAATTCAATCTATTGCTCTGTCTTCTAATATACACTCAAGATAAAAACAGGAATGCATTCAAGCATGTCCCCTTACCCAACATTGTCCATTTTCTTTAAGTAAGTTTTAATTCAGTTTGCCGTTAATCTGCAATATTCTGTGTACTGAATTTTTACAAATATAAAACCACATACAAACCAATGCTTTCAAAAACAGGAAAAAAGAAAACCCCCAATCTGACCACTTTTTACTCTTTTGACTCCATGTACCCTCAGTAGTTTGGAGAAGGCTACATGACCTAGATTCTACTGACCAGCAGGACAAGGAGCAGGAATTGCCCAATGGCAGCAAAAGTACTGCTGGAAGGGGCTGGTGAGGCAACCAAAGCCTAATCCAAGACCTAAGAGGGGTTTTCTCTCAGTTCTGTGGATTTTGGCACACAGCTTAACACCATCCCTGCTCCATAAGCTACTTAAGGACGTACCCAGTGTTAAGTTAAAGGGTCTGCTGGTGTCCTTGAAGACAATCATGTGCTAAAGAAGGCTGCAGCTGGGGCCCAGCTCTACTGACCACGAATCTGGTGCTGCTGGACAGAGCCGAGCCTCAGCATCGCTCCGGTAATTCAGAAACGAGGGTGATGCTGGTGGTGAGAGACCTCCTGTTGCTGTTTAAGCGTTGGCTCTCTCCCAGCTGCCCCTGGACCAGTTCCAGGACCTCCCCATCCCTCTGCAGCAGCTCCTCGCAGGCTGCAGGCTCCTGTGTCCCCGCACACCCTGACCACCCGAACCTTGCAAGCTGCCTACCAGAGGCATTACCCCCCGTCACCACAGTGACATCAGTGGAGTCACCTGTCTTCGTTACAAATACGATGAGCCTGCGGCTGGCAAGGGTCTCTCACGACAGCCCTTGGAGTCTGCTTCGCATGAACGGGGCTCCTCCAGCTTTCAAGGAACACCACAAAGCTCAGCTTTTCCCACCAGCTCTGGAAATATGCTCAGTGCTCTTGGTCACACTCAGTCTTCTTTGGTGTGTGGCAGAAAATGTCATCAACCCTCTGCTGCTGAGAAATCTGAGGTCATTTCTTTTGCATGGTCATGGAAAGAGCATTTTTGGTAAGTAGGATGCTGGCTGCAGTCATCTCTAATCCTGAAAGTGGCTTATTTGATCAGTGTAAACCACCACAAACTTGAAACTTAACAATCTGCCTCTGTGTTGCAAAGGATGAAATTTAGTTTGGGGAAAGGAGGCAGGATTTTTGACTTCATTAATAGCAGAGATTATTTAGGCATATTGCCTATTTTTGAGATTCCTTGTTACATGTTGGATTAGTAATGCCCAAATGCCTTCAAGCAGAAGAATTTGTATAAATAAGTTACAATGCCATTTTCCATTACAGCAGGAGACAACAGTGCAACCTCTATAGCACATCTTCAGTTAACAGCTTTCTTTGCAGCATTTGGCTGTAGCACACTTTTGGAGTTTCTTATCTTCTAATTCAAGATTTCACTGTGACTTTGGCTACCTCACCCATTACTGTAATATGCAAAGACTTATCTAGGTCAGGCAACTAAACCTGCTGTAGTGCAGTTTTGATCTAAACTGGAGCTGACATTTCTCTGGGGTACCTAGGGTAAGGCAGAAGGATCAGCTGGAAGTCACTTTTCTTTTCTAGACATACCAGGAAATTTAAATCTGTGTGAATGGCAGTGTCAGCCAAACTAGGCAGAATTAGTAAATGCTCTCTAAAAAACTACTGTTTTTAGCACCTGTAAGTCCCTTGACTGGCTCAGTCTGTTGGCAGGATGCTGACTCGGAATTCAGAGCTCAGCAAAGTCTCTTTTTTTTGTGGACTTTACCACCTGGCATACCTGCTGTTGGAATTAGCTGTGTTAAGCAGGGGACATGGAGGATGCAGGAGGGTTGCAGAGCAGCGCAGAGGCTGTTCCAGCAACCCTGCTCCTAGATCCAAAATCCCATCCTCGAACCAACAACCAACCAGAAAAGGTGACAATTAAACATCTGGCTTTGGATAAAACATTGAAGCTTAGAGGCTGAACAACAAAGTGCTTGTTAGTGGAGTTTAAATGCCAGATTTGCAGAGTTAAGCTCTTTTTGATGGTCTAATGCTGATCTAATTTTTAATGCGGCAGTACCAGCACGCACAGAGGGATTTACCAATTTTCTGCAAAGTAGCCAGGTACTGGTGTCCAGACGGTTCTGCCCAAAGGATTTCAGAGCTAGAAGAGCAAGGGAAGAGAAGGGAAGGATCTAACATCACTGGAAATAACTCCTAATAGGGCAATAGGAACTACAAATAAGCATATTGGTGAAACACTCAATTGAAAAAAAGAAAGTGTTTCCCCCTTTCTCTCATACTTCCACAGTCATGATCATGCTTTTGGGGTGGGTTCTTGAATGAGATGGAAGTCACCCCCCCCAGGTCAGTCATATGAATGTTAAATCACTTAATGCTACACTGCTTGAGTATTTCTGCCGCGAAAAAAAGGTCTGGCAGATGTCCACGTTGCTTGCTATTTTTGCCCTTGCCGAGGATTAAAGTTGTGTATCCACTGCAATCACCAGAGCAGAAGATTTCATGTTAGCTGAGGCATTTCCATAGCACTGACTCCAGGTGCAGAGGTAAAAGTGAAAAAGAAATAATCATTCTGCTACTTCTCTGTGGGTCTAGAAATTGGCAACCACAACATCCTCACAGGCACGTATCTTCCAGTACGTGCTATTTATTTGAATGCTTGCGCACGAGCTGCACACAGCTGCATTGCGCTGAAGAAGGGGAATGCACAAGTCGAAGAGCTGACTGTGCCAATGGCTTTGGTTTGAGAGCCTGGCTTCCGTTCTTAGCTGGAGCTGCAGACCATTCCTCGGGCTCGATGCTCCCACTGCCAGTGTGACGCTGCCTGCATAATGACTAAGGGCCAATCAAAAGACATCTTTAATTGGTGTCAGGAAAGTCCCAGAAGAAAAAAAAACCCACCCAATTATAAAAATACAGCAATCAAACAGGGACTTTCTTATTTTCTTAGACCTTTCTGAGTATAGTGCTGCTACAGCTGATCCAATCCAAATTAAATATTAGAGGCTCCCACTCAGCTGAAACAACAACCATCTATCATCTGCTGAGATTCGGAACATGATAACAGATGTACAGTTGCCCTAGATTTCCATGAGAGCTGAAAATTTTCCAGCTGAATAGTTTTATGAGAAAATTCTGGTTAGAAGAAGTCTCAGGATTTTGTTGGAAAAGTATTTTGTCAACAAATGGAGAAATTATCTGAGCATTCTGTTTTATTAAGTCAGAATAGTTCATTTTTAGTTTGGAATTCTCTTCTGTTTTTGTATTATATGTGACAAACAAAATATACCAAAGACATAACAAATAAAAAAGGAGCATCTCAAAGTGGCTTATTTTGAATAACACCCTGACACTCTGATTTTCATCCTCATTTGGAATGAAGAGTCATTTTGAAACCTCAGCCTGAGTTACGGGATGAAAATAAGATTTTCACCATTTGAGAAAATACCCGGATATATAGTTTTTACTCAAACACCACAGGCATGTTATTGACCCTTCCTGGGGGCCACTTCAGGCATCCTGTGAAGTATCGGGATCCTGTGATCTGCTTTAATAAACAAGAGATGGGATGGGAGTGAATGTGGTGAGGTTTTTTTTTTTTTTCCAGTGCACAGGTAAGCGTGGTAAGCAGCGGGAACCTATGGTGCTGTGAGGAGATGAGGGAATCAGGAGTATGAAGAGGAGGCTACGTACACATGAGGATGGGGCTGGGCAGTAGGACAGGGCATGGGCAAAGGAAGGGCCACGGAACAAAATATTTCAACAAAGTCAAAGCCAGAGAAGAGACAGGTCCGTAGTGAGAATAAATGCTTTGGCAGAAGAGTCTCAAAGCTTGTAAAAAGTGCTTTGACATGCACACGAGAAAGGGGCCGTCATTCCTGCAAGTCAGAACTGCAATAAAAGGATCATGGAAGGGGTTGTGAATTGGTTGGTGGATTTAAGGAGGGAAAACTGGCTCTGAAGACAAGAAGCCAATCTGTCAGAGTGTCCAAACTTGGAAAACATTTTCTCAGACATGAAAAATGTTCAGTTCTTTTACCGTTGCTGTTATTATTATTTATTTAATCGTAATAATCTGGGGCAAAAATATTTACAGATGTATTGAAGAGGGCTGCAGGGAACGAGAGTCCCTCATATAGTGAAGGGAAAATGGGGAAGGATGAGAAAAAAGCTGAGACTGAGCAGCACCGTGCTGCAGGAGAGGGGGCTGTGCTGGGTGGTGGGGCTGGGCATGGCTGGATGGGACGGAAAGGACCATGCCCATGCCCGTGCGCAGCTGCAAGCCACCACCCTGCTCTTTAGCTGCAGGTTGACTCCGTGCCGTTTGGTTGGGCTCCTTTGTACAAGAGCCATGAAAATGCCTCGGCCCCCAGCAGCAGCTACAGAGAGCAAAGGGGGAACCGGTTCTTCTCTGGGGCTGAGCACACCTCGCCTTCAGGACTAAAAACTCGCATACTGAGAGCTGAGTTGTTAGTTTTTCTCTGTGTTTGTGAAGGGCAGGCAGAGTAGAAAATGGAGTCAGGAATGGTTCCAGTCGGGAGCTTGGCTTATTAAATTTGGGGGGGGCACCTCACCTGCAGGGAGTGGGTAAAGCTCCGGCTGTGCCCTCTGCGCCAGTGCACTGGGGTGAGTTGAGAACAGGCAAGCGCTGCAGGGATCAAGGTACAAGCATCTCTCAGAGCCATCTTTCTGAGTTGAGGTTACAGTCCATTGCTCAATGGTCTTCTCACAAATTCCCCAGGGAATGGGATACTGGCTCCTTGATTAACATGTGTATGTATTGATATGATTTGTTTGCTTTTCCTTTCTGCCTGTCCCTCTGTCACTGTTATTAGAGCTTTATGGATAAGAACTAAGTCTGTGATTCCCTCAGATGACCCATGTTGATAAGCTGTGATGTTCACTTTGACTGGCTCTGCACAGACAGACTGTAATTTTTGAGGTTTCAAAGCACTTCGGTAAATAAACTGTAGCTTCACAGAAACTCCTTTCTGTTTCCTCCCCCAGTCCCTGCATCAGGCATTGATGCATTTCTTTGCCCTGAATGATCTGCTTCCCATTTATCCACAGCATTTTTAAGGATAAGTTTAGCCAACTAGAACTTAAAAAAAAAAAAAAAAAGAAAAGAAAAGGGGAGAGAAAGGGAGATATTTCTTACACTCTTTGTTAGGATGTGCTGCGTACTTTTGGCTCGTCTTCGGGCAGGACTACATGCTGTGAAAAGAAGAACAGGAACATGGTCAGGGCACAGTGAAGGCAGACAAGCCTAAGCAACACTCTCAACAGCAGTGCCTGCTGAAAATGCTGGTCAGGATGAAACTTTTAGGGGACCATAAGCAGACCCTCACTTGGGCGGCAAGGCAGGAGGACCGTAGTGATGGCCTTTTTAATGTCATCTCAGAGAACGTGTCCCAGCTATACACTGCAGATATCCATGGCGGCAGGACAACAGCCTTCCCCAAGTTTCTGCACCTCTCCCATAGGCTTCCAGGAGGAACCGTCCTCCTACTTTCTGAGTTTTGATCTGGCCTCCCACCTGCCGATGCTTCAGAAGGAAACGAGCTTCTCTTTCCATCCAGTCACCTTCAACCATGAGTAGTGTATACAGTAACTTTGAAGAGGAATAACATTTTATCTAGATAGATGGGTTTTTTCAATAAGCTCAGACTGCTTCATGACATCATTTCAGTTTTATTGCATGATGTCCAAAGTACATTTGCTCTAAGTCTGGTCCTTTTTTTTTTTTTTTTTCCAATCCTTTGCTTAAAGTCTGTTTCTGATTTTTATTTCTTAGACACATGTAGACACCCAAATCATAGGCAAAGTAGAATTGCTAGCCACTAGACACACAAGATTCCAGGATGGCTGGCTGAAGTGACTGGTTTTGGGTAAGGTTTTTTTTGGACAAAGAGAAAATTTTTAAAACACTCATCATTTCAGTTTGACTTGAAACTGGCCTGAAAAACTCAGTGACACTCCCAGCTCTCCCTCTCATCGTATCTTATTATCCTCCCCTGTGTTCAGGATACAGGAGTCATGACAACAGGATTTAGCAACCAGTTATGGAAATAGGCCTGCAAAAAACTGCCAAATTCAATGAATTAACCCCAATTCTAAAGGCTGACCCTGAGGGCAAGGCATGTGAATGGGGGCTTCCTACTCAGGCTCCACTTATAGTCCAAAGGCTTTGAAGAGCCAGGAAGGTTTGTTATGGGATCACAGGTGACTCTTACTCTCCAGGTGAGATTTCCTTTACATTTTTGGCATACATTCAACTCCAGGAATTGCAGTACTCGACGTTGCTATGTATTAATATTTGCAGAGAGTTTTGAGGCTGTGGAAGCAGCTGGAGGGTCACTCGAGGCTGCTCGTTTCTGCAGCCAAACTCCTCTCCTCTGATGGGAGGAATAACAAGTGACCGGGCTTTCCAGGGCTCTGGTACAAGCAGAGCTGGCACTGGGACCAAAATCCCTCTTCCTGGACAGCTTGTCTTTGTCTAAAAGCCACCCCTCGATGCCCCAGTGAGGATATAAGGGCTGAGCATTAGGACCCCACTGGATAAACATCAAGTTGTGGCCTGTGCTCTGCCCACAGCGAAACAGGGCAGTAAGACGGGAGGTGATAAATCTGAACTCATCACAAGTAAGTTCTCTGCATGTACGGAGCTTGAGAGTGCGCTGAGCTGTCAGTTCAATTATGGCCTGTTTTGCACGGCGATATCCTCAGGGATCCCTACTGCCTTCTCCTGCAGGACACATTTTATATTTTAAACCATGGTGAGTGTGGGATGAAAACCAGACCAACATAACGAAGGTGGGGTTTTCCCTAGGCATATGTTGTAGCTTGTTTTGGAAGCTGCTGGAATCACCTTTACTTCTGGAATTTTATCGTGTGAGGACTAAGCCATTTGCTCACAAGCAAAAACACTCAAGTGCAGAAAAGTGTAGTGAAGCGAGGAATCATCTTCTTGTCTCTCTAGTATTTTATGTATTTTACCAGACAGTGTGAGGAGCACAGTTTATATAGATATCTACCAGAAGCAAGTACCATTGTGCTGTTACTGTTACCCAGGCTGGTGCACAAGGAACAACACATCACTGTGCCTAACGGTAATAAATTTGTGTATTTGCAGAGTCTGTGTGATCCACAGTCGAACACATTGCCTGTCGTCTGCCAGCACGAGTGGCAAATGGCTTACAGGGGCTGAAGAAAGGCAAGGCACGAAAGGGAAGTCACAGCACCAGCAAACATGCAATTACTTGAATAGCCAGTGAAAGAAGTGGGAATCACGGAGGGAGCCAGTAGTGACCCACTTGCGCAGGAACACAATGGCAGCAATGCAAACAGCGGGGCTGCAGGGCTCTCCCTGCAAACATAATTTTCTGCAGGGAGTGGGACCAGGAAAGGAAGAATGAATCCTTGCAGATGATGTATCTGGATTTGCCTGCAAAAGGATGTTTGTATGTACAGCCCAGCTTTCGGGCAACAAAACCAATTACAGTGATGGTTCACTTTGTCATTTCCACTTACATTCTGAAATTAAGCAGCTGAAAGCTCATGCTCGCAGCTTGCAAATAAAGATCTGATCTGGCCCCACAATTTGTTTTCCCTGCATTTACCTGCTTTCTTTTTCTTGTTGCTGAAATATGCAGCTATTGAGTTTAAACTAATTTGTTCAATCGAATGCAGACTGGGCTTTGTCCGGTTCTTACTCTTCATTACAAGCAATTAATGTTAATCATGCATTCATTTCCAGGGCATGGCTTTGGAAATGTTCCACTTACTGAGCCAGCAGACTTAAACTCCACATTCATGCAGTTCACCCAGTTCATCTGAGCTGCTAACTGCTTGCAGAACTTCATTTTCTTTTCTATTACACAGAATAGCCACGCAGTTGCAAGCTGTCACTTTAGCAATTACCTCATAGGTATATCAACACCGATTCCAGATCTCCCAATTTTGCCAGCGCAAAGATTTTACACAGCCACAATGTCGAAGCACCTGCATGGATTAGCTCCAGAAACAAGCAGCGAGCGCTGGACTGCAAGCAGAGCACGGCACGGCACAGCAGAACAGATGAGCTGCTCACTTCAAAGATTTCCCCGATGCTAAACACCCCATCCATCTAAGAGACAACACCGTAGCGGTTGTTACAGTTCTGATGTACTCACATTTGGATGAAATCACAGTGGTGAAAACTTCTAAATTTTCGTCGCTGCAGCTGTAAATCTGGTGCATTTTCCACCTCTCCCTCCTGACTGCCTTTCAGCTTCATGCAACCGCTCTGAACTTCTGGTAAATAGGTTTCACTAATCCAATCTGGCTCTGTGATCATTGTCCAGATCTACAAAGGACAGACTGATGCTGTGATCTCATCTCATTCCATATTCTTCATTGCAACATTTTCTGCTCCCATCTGCCTTTCTATGAATACTATTAATGAAAAGATTTAATTTAGCTGTTACTTAAGCCTCTGCCCCGATAGCAGCATTTTATTTTACGTCTCCTTTTACCAGTTTGGAGAATTCTCTGCAATAAATAGCTAATAATTAAAGCCCGTTCTGTCCTGCCAATGTATAGGCAAATAAATGTTTACAGAAGTACTGCAAGGATTTTTAAAAGAAGGAGGGTCAAGACTTTGTGTACTTTAACACATTTATCATAAAAATTTGCTCCTCTTATACAACGAGGAGCTGATTCTAGGTGTATTAAGAACAGCATTTTGTGCTTTGCCTTTCAAGTTCATAAACTAGTACCTGAATCCTGGGCACTTCAGTGAAAAATTTCAAATGCAGATGACTAAGGAAGGGCACGTCGGGCAGATGTACATGCCCCTACACTTCACTGGCTGCAGAGGGAGGGCAGGTGGCTCAGCCATACATGAGTTCCTACATGACTTGATGGTTCTGGGGCCTAATTCCATATTTATGCACTTCAATAAAGGGTCCTCTTGCCAAAGCTTTTCATTCCTTAGTGCTCCCATCAGAAATTGTTCCTTTTCACATCTACGAAAATCAGCCCCCTCAACTTCTGGTGACTTACTGCTGCCATGGACACCTGAGATGAGAAAAAATTTTGGCTTGCAGGCTCCAGCAACTGATGTAGCAGAAACACTTTCAAGTGTAAATAATGATATTAAATTATGTCAGTCTAATGAATAGCCTTCATTACTAGCACGTGTGTGCAATTAACACAAAAACTAGTGCTGTCTTCTCCTACAGACGTCTGCCACCAAGAGTCCCAGATGGAAAGTGCCAGCAAACATGGGCTGTCACTGTCATATTCATGTAGCATTTCTTCTTTCAAATAATAAATATTGGTCAAATACACATCCCGAGCCTGGAAGCATTTTGGCTGAGTGGAAGGTGTCACTGTTTCAAGAAAGAAATGAGTGAAGAGAAGCTGGTATCACTTGTCACCTCCCAGGGCAGCCTCCTGCTGTCCGGGGGCAGCAAAGCCATTACGGGGCCGGAGGCATTGTCCCAGGAAACCGTGCTGTGTTTGAAACGGGCAGTGGGACGGCAATATAATCAAGCAAAAGTTCAATTAGTTTTTGATTTATTGCGCCACATGTTCTGCTTGTATGACTGATGTCATTAACATCAGGCTCGGCTGGCGTGTTCATCTGTCCCTGCTCGGCTCCCTCTGAAGGCGCACACACTCAACAGATGGGGAGCTGCACGGGCGCGAATGCAATTGTTTATCCCCCTATTGTTCCTGTGTCAAGCAATCAAACCAAATCCATTACCCACCGAGAAAAAGATCAGCGCACCATCCATTCAGCAGTGAATGGAGCAGAGGCGGTTATGCAGGGAGGCTTTACAGCTTTCAAAAGGATAAAAAAAATAATGAAGAGCAACACTGAATAGTTGACCAAAAAAAAAAAAAAAAAGAGAAAAAAAAAAAGAGAAGCTATAACAAATCTAACCCACCCTTTATTTCACCTTTGGATATTCAGAGTCATATGAGAAGAAGCGCCTTTGGATCTGAGTCATTATTTTCCTAATTATAAGTATGACCTAAAGATATTTTTAAACCATAGTTGGGGTTTAACAGGACAAATATTTGGTGTTACATCATGTTGAGGGGTGGTGGGGATGTGGAAATTAAAGTGAGACTCAAGAGCTGGTTACCAGCTGGCATTCACTGCATCAAAGGTTAGGTGTGGAGCAGGTAGGCTTTGAACACCTATCCTTACAAGCAACATGATGCTCTGGGGATGAGTCACTCTGTGCAGAGAGCTGATAAAAGGTTCTCACATCACTTCCAGACAGTGAAAAAGGGCTCAGGAGGGCCAGTATAATACGTCTCATCTGGGATCCTCATCTGGGAATGAATCTTCCCCTGTTCACGAAAGAGAGTTTGCTGCTTCATTCTGCCCAGATCTTACAGGGTAGTTGAGCCCAGGGTTTTGCAGGAAATCTTCATGTGGCTTCAAGAGAAGGACTGCACATATTGGGCTACATTTTTCTAGTTGTCCGTGAGTTATTTTGGACAAATGTCTTGGTTTATCTAGCTACAAAACAAGTGTGATAATACATGCCAAGGAAGTGTACTATAAAGCTCAACTGCATGCAGCCTGCTGAAGACTATCAGGACAGTAATTTTAGACTTGAGGAAGACTCCACAATGTTCAACCAAGGGTCTCCTTGCAAAACCACATCAGATGATTTCACGTAGTATCTCCCTCCAGCTCCCCACTGACTGAACAAGAGTATAGTCTGTGGTGGGAGCAGGAAACCAAACATTTATTGATTCTATGAATCATTTTTTGCCCCCCAAATTATATAAAATGTCTAGAAACTAGGCTCATTTTTTTTCTCACTGCTAATCACAGTTAATAAGCTATTAATTTAGTTCATGCAGTGCCACTGCAGCTATGAGAAGATCCAAAAAAGGCTTTGCACTGGGGTATATCTTTGACTAAGACTTCCAAGTTGATGTGTGGAATCCAAATTCCTTGCTGCGGGCTGTGATATATCTCTGTTTACCAAACACCTGAACTCCCAGTGTTGTCAGTAAATAATCAAAGCATTTTCTGGTGGAAGAACTTGGCAACCAAAGGTGAATGGGGACAAGTGAGGAGGAGGACAACTCAGGACACAGAACAGACATATGGTATCTGACAAAACATCCATCTACCTGATCTGCAGGTCTGGGACAGGGAAAGTATTTGATGTTTTGGAACGTGGGCAGAAAGGAGGTGGAGAAGTGGAAGAGACATGTGCTGAGGCTGAGGCAAAAAAAACCCCTCATGAAAACAGCGTAAGGATCAGTGAACCTTGTCAACATGGCAGAAAATCCCCTACATTGGCAAAAGGTTCCTCTAGGGAGGTGGTGAGGGTGCTTTTCCCACGGGCTGGATCTGTTCAGCCACATTTGGAAGAAACGAGCGTAGATGCTTGTCCTGTTTACCAAGTATGCCAGAGCTGGCAAGCTTAAAAGGAATCAAATAAAACCAAACTTTAATTATGATTACAAAAAATGTAATTAAAACTTTGAATGATTTAAAAGAAGTATTAGAAACCTCTAGACCTTATTCATCCTAGCCTTTGTAAACAAATGAATGCCTTTCCAGCACAGCATTCTTCCAGTGAAGTCAGTGGGAAGCATCCTGGCACTCTCAGCACATGGAAGGGATATTGCCAAGGGATTCCCTGGCCTGCAGAGGACAGAGCTCTTCCCAAGGCAGGTCTCTGGCTTCTCCCTGGATCTTACACTCTGTTGCGTAAGAGGCGAATCTAATCCGTACTGAGCCACTCGAGCCTCTTTCTTACCGTTAGCTGGGCAATATGATAAGGATAAACCCCAGGTATTTTTGGAATAGGATTGTGAACCAGAGGTATGCACAGTTAACTATTTAAAAATAAGATGGGCTAAAACTGCACGTGCATGCTGCAGACGTTTACTCTAAAACACTTCTGCGTGATGCAATGCAAGTGGCACTTTTTGTGTAAGGAAAATCACTTTGTTTCATTTTAGGGCCACAGAATTGCAATTGCCAGGGACTGAAAAGGAAAATGAACAGAACCAGCAAAATATAAAGTGAGCTTCTCATACATAATCTCTAAATGTATGAGAGAGGCAGATATGCTATTAACAACTTCACCTCATAGCAGTCAGCAAAACTACTTCAAAATTAAAGTAGCACTGCACGGCTGAAAGGTCTGTGAATAAGTGAAGAATTCTCAAAAGTAACATTTTTAATTTGCGTCTGGCTGGAAGCTGCTGTAACAGGTTTTACCCAAATAGGAATAAGATAGAGGCATTTAAAAAACATTCTGAACTTTAAATTCACTATAGGGGACCAGGAGAGAGGAATGCAAGTGGTGTGCAGTTTGAAAGGGCTAGTGCACAGACTTCCCTGCTAATCGGGAAAGGAAATACCAGCCAGACCTGGAAGCCAGGCTGACAGCATCGCCCCACTCGTTACAGAAAGATACTGCGGGATCCTGAGGAAAAAAACCCCAAGCCTGGTTGGCTCCTCTTAAAAAAGTTACATATAGATAATTGGACATTCACAAATTTGCCCTAAGCTTGTAAAACACACTTGAGTAAGTCCGTACAATGACTGGCGAGAAGCACAATGCCCAGCACCGCAAGGTTCAAGTCCCGCGGAGCTCGTGCCAGCAGCAGGGATTGCACTGAGCCAGCATTAAAGCTAGGGCCAGGCTGAGCACGTGGAGGCTTAACAAGCTTTCGTGCACTGGTCATGTACTGGTAATCCACAGAAAGCATTAAAAATGTCAACAAAAGAGTGATATGTCCAAATTGGGCTGTGACAGCAACAGCTTATTGAGATGTTGAACTTTAATTACATTTGTCCTTGATTTATTAATTTTTCAAGCTAATTGATCAGTGAGGTCTTTGTTCCCCTGATAAAGCAGAATAATTTTTGGGTGGGGCTTTTTCACTCTCAATTTTTTTCCTTTAAAGCATTTTAAGATTATTTTGACTGTTGGCTCTGGATACAAACATAACCATTGTTGCACAAGCAAGCACATTAATTAAAGCTTGTCCCACTGTTCCTGGATTTGTGCAGTGGTAGCCCTCTTGCTGCAACCGCATACTATGTCTCACACCACACGGAGGAAAATCCACTGCTTGGGTAACGAGGCACAAACTACTTAGGATTTCTCCCATGGATAAGTCTAAAGAATGAGGCAACCTGAACTGTCACCTTACTTGTCTCTAGTGTGTCCTCACGCAGCCATCAAGCTCCTTTTGCCGCGTGCTAC